CGCACTCTGCGTTACACGCACCGCTGACCACGCACTCTGCGTTACACGCACCGCTGACCACGCACTCTGCGTTACACGCACCGCTGACCACGCACTCTGCGTTACACGGAAAGCGCTGACCTCCGCACTCGGCATTACACGCAACGCTGACCTCGAACTCTGCCTTACATTACATTACCCCTCCTCTATTCAAGACATCAGGCCGGCACCCCGAAGTAGAGTGGCAGCACAGAGTATATAGCAAATGTATATACTATTATTCTGCATTGCTCTATGTTTTGCTGGGATTTGTAGTCCTCTATAGCTAGTGGTATTCAGCATTGCTATATAACATTGGAGATTATTTACACAGCCCCGGTGTTTGCTGAATTGCTTTAAACTATAAAGAAACGCTTTTCAGAGTTTTCCTCTTTCTCAGGTCTGAAGCAATACCTGACGAAGAAAGGAAAACTCTTGAAAGTTTATCTTTAGGTTAGATACTTGTAATCTTATTTATATATAAGTTATTAGGTTTTTTTTCAGTAGTATGATTTAGTGGTGAAAATTATTAGCGGCCCCCCCAGTTTTGACTGTGGTATCTTATGTGCCCCCCCTATATATTGTTCCCAGAGTCGCCACTGCCTGGTGGACATTCTGTCTTGTAATGAGGTCTGCATCCCTTTAGAAGTATCTAACTCTTAGTGAGCATCTCACCAAAAATGTAGTTATTTTTCCAGGGGATGTCTAACATTTTACTTGTATCTTAGTGCAGATATCTGAGAAAATCTGTGAGGCAATCACACGAGTAGAAAATTAAATTTTTGGGGGCCATCTGTGTACAGAACACCTTCAGGTTGGCATATTGCATAGAATTGTTTTTAGCAGTTTTGGAAAATTACAGCGGCTTCAGATTGAATTAGAAAGGTAATTGTTGTTATTAACACAATTACAAAACGGTTTGTGTAGCAACTTTTTTTTAGATTTTAGAGTAGGGAAGGTTTAAAACCCCTGCCAGTTTATTGTTTGCTATCTCTGTCCAATTGGGATGATTCCTCCTCACTTCCTATCCTAGAGACGCAACAAGTGCGTTGAATTCTCTTAGCCAAGCAGCAGGTATGTTTTTGACAACTTTTGGCTTTTTGATCACCTTTTGTCATATTGACAGACAGGGCCGGTGCAAGGATATTTCAGTACACAGGCGAAGGTGCATTCCCCCACCCCAGGCAGCCTTATGATAGCGCTAGCCCTGCATAGACATCCCAGCACTCCAAAACTGATAGAAGATCCGTGATATCCATGTAACAGGTCAAACCAATTATCTCAGAAGCATTTAGAAAAAATGAAGACCATCAGCTACTAGTGCCCTATATGTGAAGCCACTAGCAATGACACCCCAAATAGTTTACTGTGGGGCACCCCAATACAAAGACACACCAAAGTGTACCACTCCAGAAAGCATAGCGAAGATGTCCATGTTACAGCTCACACTGAACATATCCAGCATTTGGGATAGAGGGCCATCATCTACTGAAGCCCTATATGTAAAGTCACATGCATCGACACCCCATGTCCAGTACCATGGAGCACCCCAATACAAGGACAACCCCTATAGATCTTCACTAAATTCATTGTGGCTGTTGATGGGTTGATAGTGGCAAAAATTCTGTGTAATAAAATGTTAGGAGGCATTACACTGACCGTCAATGTAACGGAAGTATTCACACTGACCACCAATGTAAAGGAGGTATTCACACTTCCCGATAACGTAATGGAGGTATTTACATGAACCAGCAATGTAATGGAGGTATTCACACTGACCGCTAACGTAGCGCAGGTATTCACAATAACCAGCAATGTTATGGAGGTATTTTCACTGGCTGCCAATGTAATGGAGGTATTCTCACTGACCACCAATGTAATGGAGGTATTCACACTGACTGCCAATGAAACAGAGGTATTTACACTGACCGCCAATGTAACAAAGGTATTCGCACTGGCAGCCAATGTAACAAAGTTATTCACACTGACTAGCAATGTAATGAAAGTATTTACACTGACCACCAATGTAAAGAAAGTATTCACACTGACTGTCAATGTAATTAAAGTATTCACACTGACCACCAATGTAAAGGAGGTATATACACTGTCCGCCAATATGACTGAGGTATGCTCACTGACCGCCAATGTAATGGAGGTATTCACACTGACTGCTAGTTTAACGGAGGTATTCACACTAAACAGCAATGTAATAGACGTATTCACACTGACCAGCAATGTGACGGAGGTATTCACACTGACTGCAAATGTAATGGAGGTATTCTAAGTGACTGCCAATGTAATGGAGGTGTTCTCACTGACCACCAATGTAATGGAGGTGTTCTCACTGACCACCAATGTAATGGAGGTATTCACACTGACCGCCAATGTAACGTAGGTATTCACACTAACCAGCAATGTACCGGATGTATTCACACTGACCAGCAATGTGACGGAGTTATTCACACTGACTGCCAATGTAACGGAGGTATTCACACTGACCAGCAATGTAACAGAGATATGCACACTGACCGCCAATGTAACAGAGGTATCCACACTGACCACCAATATAACAGAGGCATTCTCACTGACCACCTATGTAACGAATGTATTCACACTGGCCGCCAATGTAACTAAGGTATTCACACTGGCCGCCAATGTAACTAAGGTATTCACACTGGCCGCCAATGTAACTAAGGTATTCACATTGACCAGCAATGTAACTAAAGTATTCACACTGGCTGCCAATGTAATGAAAGTATTCACACTGACCACCAATGTAACAAAAGTATGCAAACTTACCACCAATGTAACAAAAGTATATACCCCTCCACCATTATTTTTTAAAATTATAATACACATACTTAAACATACTTTTTCCTGTAGTCTTCAGGCTGGTTTTTCTTCCTTAGCAGCAATGGTGGGCAGTACTTCCTGTGAGCCTTTGGGGGTGGGGGGGGTATTTGCATATCAATTTGCCACAATATTTACATATTAATGAGTCACAACTCACAGCCGCCCATTCATATGTTAAGATCTCGGCGGGTGACAGCTTCAGTGCCGGCTCGGCTCCCAGCAGGCTCACAGAGAGAGAGCACACAGCAGAGTGAACAGGGGGCATGGCTCAGACAATAGGAAACTGAAGCTCAAAGCTCCGTCTATACCGCTGCTCCTATGTATGGGAGGCGGTGTTTATCCGCCCTCCCTCTCCAGCGCCCTCAAGCGGTTGCTTGTTCTGCCTCTATGGTAGCGCCGGCTCTGTTGACAGTGGTAAAGGGACATATAGACAAGATGAATCTAACACTGGGGACAAATCCAGCAATAAAAACCTGATGAGTTCTAATCCTCCCCTACTTTATTTAAACAAAACAAAAAATGGCACATTAATATATCAAGAAAAGTAATTTTTTATAGCACCAAGTAGAAATTATGAGCATCTATTATCTGCTATAAAGTTTATACAGTATATACAGTTTTTTATCCACAAAAACAGCTGCATGAGACTCTTGTGTTGATCATCCCACACTGTGGGTGCTACATCAATTATTCTCTTCCCTGCCACTTTTATGGTGTCTGGCCTGTGACTGATAAAAGTGATTGTATAGTTCAGAATATCTTAGGATGCTGGTCATTTTCTGTCCCATGTATATTTTTCTAATTTTCCAGTGTGACATTTTATGACACTTATGACATTTTTATTTTGTGCTATAAAAGCAAATGCATTTTTGTATTTTTTTTTTAAGTTTGTAAGCTACAGAATTGGCAAAATTGTAAAATTTTATTAAAGCACAGATGTCATACAAAATTACATGAGTATCATGAATGTGTGTACTTACATTAAATGTAAACATTATATTTGCTAACATAGGAATTAATGTCAACTCAATTAAATAGGAATAGTCTGCAGTGTCTTGTAACTTTCCACCCTAGGTCAAATTTCCTTTCTCTAAATCCATAACTGCACGCTGTTTCTATGCAAAAAAAAGATAGCCATTCAATTTCCAGACAAAATCCACACTACAATTAATACAGAATATTGTCCAAGAATACATGACTGGTCAACAGAATCTTCTTCCGATTAAAAACATAGAAGATGACCCTCTTTTTTAAAAGCATTTACTGCTAGATAATACATAAATAATTTATGGCTCTGCATTAGAGATTGCACGCTGTAAAACATTAAAGATTGTGTAATATAATGTAAATTGATATACAATTGTGTATAAATGACAGAACACTAGCAAATACAGTCAACAACTCTTATGTAGGCTTTAGTTATCACTCAGATGTTGAGTTTGTCCTTACACAACAGTTAGATTGTCTTAGGGACCGAATGACAGTTCTAAATGACCTCCTCTTCTTTTTAGCAGGCTTTTCCATTTCACCTGACTGTTCAGAAGGCTGCATATGCTGTTCTATTTGGATCTCTAAATGCTTCTGAATGGCTGAGCCCAAGACTTCAGGGTCTACTGCAGCTCCATAAACCTCCCATGTCATTCCTTCATCATCCCACCGTACCTCCCGTATAGGGGTCTGTGGACATTGCAGGTTAAACCCTAGTCCAACCTCAGGATGTAAGTGGGATTGCCCAGTGGTTTGAAGGCAAGGAATGGTTGACACTGATTTATTTTCCATAATAATAATAGTTTGTACTTCAGCATCTTTGCAGCTAAGTGGGAGTCTCTGCTCTGGTGAGAAATAATTCATAGATGTCATCGTCCAGTTATCTTTCATCTTTGTACCTGAAGTAAGATCCAAGCCATTTTGTGAATTGTCCATGGTCTTAAGTAGAAGGTCATTGTTCCCCTTCACTGAACTATTCAATTGTAGGTTTTCGATTGAGATAAGAGGTTGTGGAAACGTAAGTTGTCCACATTTTATGAGCTTCCTAGCATCTAGTCCAGTTTCACTGACAGATGACACTAGTTTTGGAAAGGCATACTTATCAGAAAGTGTCAATTGGGAACACAATTGAGACTGAGCATTCAGTGAGCCTGGATCACAAACAGAATGTCCCAGTCCAGCTGAGAGATGAACAGATGGTATGGGCATAGAATGGCAATATGCAGCAATAGTGTCATCAGCTTTTATCATGGGTTCATGGCTCCTGCAGCAATGCACTGAACAACTGTTGTGAATAATCATAGCTTGTGGATGGAGTTCAGAAATATTATCAGACGACATAACCCCAGGTATATTGTAGTTTGACTGACTATACACATGTCCATTATTTGGAAAACCATTACCAGAATTCCTTGGTCCTAAAATGCCATGCTGAAATGTCCCTGGCACTGCATAAACTGTTATATTGTGCTGAATAGAACTGCTGTCCAAATGACACAATGCAATATTGTGATCTTTATCAGAAGAAGTGGCATCGGTTAGGTTATTCTGAATATTTGATGGAGAGTGAACTATTCCAGAGTCCTGCATTACATTACTGAGATTGCAAGTCCTGTCACTACCAGATCCAGAGATGCTGCTGGATGAGGATAGATTTAAATATGTGGCACTGATTTTATTGTGTACTTTGACAGAACGAGGCCTTGAATTTCTACGGCCACAGCAGTAATCCGAATAGCTCTTCTGGACCATCATGCTTGGGGTATCCAACTTTTCAAGGCTTTCAGCTTCATACATTGATATTTCTGAGCGCCCTAGCAGTGAAATATTTTCAGAAACATTGTATCTGGCAAAGCTCTGTGTGATCTCTGGCTCTGTAGTAGCTAGAGAGGAGTCTGCAGACAGATAATGATTCTTCTGCGGTGTCTTCTCTTCAGCTTTTTCTACAGAAAGACGATTGCAGCTTGTTGTTGTTGGACACGGATCAGCTGCTGTGTCTTGGGTAGAAGACAAGCTGGAGCTATGTGAATGCTGAATGCTGTTCTCATTACACTTGGGCACACAAGGAATGCTGTTAAGGCTTTTATGCATCTTTGGTTTTGTCTGTGAACCTCCAAGACTACTACAGGGCAGAGCTGAAGAACTTTTTGACAAGGAATAAGAGCCAGGAATAGTCTTCTCAATGCACACCAAGTTCATTGCTTCCTGGCAGGAAGGAGTGGAAATGTTATGAATGTTATTTGCCATGATAAGTGCAATTATTTTGGACCTGTATAAGAAAACACAGACACATCTTTATTAACTGGAGCCTTGGCTGTTGAATTTTTACATACATTTTGGATTCACCAAGAAAGTAATAATTTCATGATAGTATCAGACAAGCCTGTGGGGAATTTAACTCACCACATCTATCCAAATGAAAATATCAGTTTTGGGCACACTTACCTTCTGCACCTGCCAAAGGATTGCATAGGGTGGGTACTGTCATAAGCTGGTTCCTGCAGCAGGTCTGATATAAAAAAATTTACAAAACCTGATATTTCTCCCTTCTAATAGCTTAAAGTATATGTAGATCACAAACAATTTTTCATTTTAGATGGGGGGAAAGAAGTTAAGGATTTGTCTGTGCCTCATTGGGGAGATGTCCCTTCACATCCTGTCTAAAGAGACACAACAGGAAGTAAGTGAAGATCTGTCCAAATCAGGGGGATATACCCTTTTACACAGTTGTTACCAAAACAAGTTTCCACATTGGAAAGTTTCCCTCCATAACCTAATCCTGTGAAAACTCAAAAGGTTTTAATTTCTTTTAATTTTCTCTACTGAAAACAATAGACAAATGGAAAGGTAAATCTAACCAGCCAAGAAAAAGACAGGAAAAAAATCAGACAGAGTTTTTTTCGGCAGACCATACACTGTTCTATTTTCTTTGTTCAATCCGCAGACTGAATGAAAAAAAATAGAACAGATTCCTCCATCAATGCTCAAATACCGTGCTGTTTCCTTTGTACTCAGACAGTGGCTGGCAGCTGCAAAGCACCGTTTGTTCACAGATTTTCTGACTGGCTCTTTTGATCAGCTGATCGAGGGATGCCACCCGGAAGGGTACCGACAGCGGTACCCGCGGTGCAAAATTCACATAATGTATGGGCCAGCTTAACCGTTCCACATTTAAAAACAAAAAAATACGTTTTAGCTTTATATTAGGGCTGTTACTGATTAAAATTTTCATGTTCGATTAATCAAAATTTTTTAAAATCGATTAATTTTGATTAATTATAACACACATACAGATCCAACTACATTGGCCTATACACATACCGCACAGCAATGAAGTAATAAAATGAACTAGGATCACACTAATCCAGCACGTTATTAATCTCACGTGCCCCACTCAATATGGCCACCGCTTGAGTGGGGCAACTCAGAATAATAGTGTGCTGGATTAGTGTGATCCTAGTTCATTTTATTACTTCATTGCTGTGCTGTATGTGTATAGGCCAATGCCTTGGCTGGCGTTCATGCAGAAAGTTTCAAAAAAAAATTAATCGCTCAAAACATTTTTAATCGATCAAAAAGATTAACGATTAATTGGAAAATTAATCGTTAATTTGCACAGCCCTACTTTATATATATTTTAAGATAATTGAACAAATAAACTCAGAATATAGATCAGTGTATACTTTTGGTTTAAAATATGTTTTGGTTGCATAGTTTTGACCCTGTGGTAATCCTTAATAACAAAATGTACTGGTACTTATTGGTACTGAATAGCCCCACTCTTACACTGTTCATGTTAAAAGTTATAAGCTGTTATATACTACTAATTGCAGCATTTAGTTATTATATAGGCATATACAGTAATTAAATAAAACAGTTACAACTTGAAAAAGCTTTTCACAAATCAGTGGGAACAAAAGGCACAACTCACGATTGGTAAAGATGTGTTTGGAGCCTGGAAGAAGGATTACATGAGGAGATATAGAATTAATGCATACTATTTTTGGCTAAGCTTCTGTTGGCTCGTAAGACTGATCCTAAGTCTGTTGCTCTCATTAATTCGTTTTTATGAAAGCAACAAATTTGTTCCTCCTCTTCCCCCTGTGTGTCCTGTAATTTTAGATGTGACCTATTTTATTTGCTGCAAATTAAACACAGATAGTTAAATAACATAAGCTCTCTAATCTTATTAAGTAATACAAAGAGTTTCAAACCACGGCTGTGCATTGGGCAAAAAGCAAAGTGCCTTTGTTACTTTGCTTTTTACCTGATGAAGAGACCATGTAAGGTTATGAAACGTTGCTTTATGCTTGTGATTCCATGTGCATCTGATGTCAGTAAAAGGACGGATTGATTCATGGAACCTTGGTTTGTGGCTGACTACTTTTTCCACTTTACCCACTTCTCACCCAGCACCCTTCCAGTCTATTACTAAGGGATTCCGGTCTGGAGTGCAATCAGACAGTTGTAAACTGCTGTGTATTAGATGTGTTCGTTCACTTTATACTGAACGGATGCAAGATAATTATCTACTGAAGCTATAAGACAAAAGGCAGAGACATGTATCATGCATGGGTTAATATAGGTGCTAAGAAATCTACAATTACAATTCTCTCTGTAAGCTTGTCTATAAAATACTGTCATGCATTAGAGTAAACAGTGTAATGAGAACACCAATCAAATGTCCAAGAGTCTAAAATTAAAAACAGCCATGTTTTTATGGTCAAGCACTCTCCCCCTCCTCCATGGCTAAAAACCAGACAGAAAGCATATAAGGCAGGGTTAGCCAAACTTTGGCCCTCCAGCAGTGGTGAAACTACATATCCCATCTTGAACCTGCCTCTGGAAGTCATGCCTTTGGCTGTCAGAGTCTTGTAATGCCTAATGGGATTTGTAGTTAACCACAGCTGGAGGACTAAAGTTTGGCTACCACGTTATAAGTGATGGGTGCTTAAGTACAATTTATATAATGCAAAATTCTGTATTAGTCCAATTCTAGACAAAATCAATCATACTCAGGGTTTCCTCAAAACTGAAAAAAGATATTCATTAAATGTTTATTGGAAGTAGCAAAATCCTATAAAATACAATGCAAGAAAAATGGATATAATTCTCAAGATCACCATAGCCCCACAAAAGTTGGCTAGCAACAAAACAATAAACCCTTGTTCACAGTGTAGAAATAAGCTGCCAAGAAATAAAACAGTGACCATTAATGGTAAAGAATAAATAGATCATGAATAAACAACAATAAAAAATTGGAATTGTTCAAGAAACTTTTGGACGATTTCTTAAGGGACCGTAATATACAGGGGTACAGGTACTCCTAGAATGAGATCCTAATAGGTTGGACTTGATGGACTAATGTCTTTATTCAACCTCAAATACTATGTAACTATGTAACTATGTAGCACAAATGTTTGGAATATATAAAACATTAAAGTAAGGTTATCCCTGTGCTCATATCATATGCTACAACTGTGAGAAAACTACAGATACACACCTTGGATACAATAGCTCTGAAAATACATTTCAAGAATTTTTCACATATCCATGTCTGTTATTTTGGAAAACTTTTAAAATTGTTTCAAACTTTGCTGAAAAAATCCAATTTGGAGGCATTATCATGAGAGTTTGGAGTGGCTAAGAATGATATCAACTTTCTTTTCAATATTCTTTTCTTTTCTTTTTATATTATAAAGGAGCTAGCAGAACCTAAGTATTCCTCGGTGCTCTTTACATAGGTGTGAGCATAGGATGTGCACCTCTGTTCCCATGATTGCGATGATACTGTACAACGCTCATTATAGAGAGGCATGCAGCATCCTAATCAAACTAATTACTTTACATAACAAATGTAACAATAAGTAGGTATATGTCTGGTCACTGCTGCTGTATTAAACAACAAATAATACACTTTCTGTAAAAGGAAGGGTAGCTGAATTAGGATAATTTATGCTTTCTATTTTTGTTTTACGATTAATTATTCCAAATTTTATTTGGTTCATTTTTGCACTAAGAATAGTTTTGAACAACAACTGTAGAAACCTAAAATGATTACCTATTGGTCAGAATATACAGGGCCGTCCATTTAATGAGGCAACCTGGGGTGGTTGCCTCAGGAGGTATCTCAGTGGGCCATGTGACAGAGTATCTCAATGGGTTTCTGGCCAGAGTGTCCCAGGTATCTAAGCCTTGCACCTGACCACGGGGCACAGTACTCTGTAAGAGACATGATTGGGCAAAGTAATGATGACTTTGCCCAATCATGGCTCACCTGTCAGATGCCTTACAATTTAAAACAGTTGGGCAGAGCTAGCTAGCTGTCACCACTAGCTCTGCCCAATTCATTATATTTTGCCGACATCTGTCAGAATGCCATTCTGTGGCTGGAGTAGCGGATGGGTAGGCAGGCGTTTTTTACAATTATTTCTATTTATTTTCTCTTGTGTTATTTTTTATGTCAAAAACATTTTGTTTTTTTTGCAATTAAATTATTTTTTCAAAACTTTAATTCAACCCTTTAGTGAATGGGTAGGGGTACAAGTACCACTTACTCATTCACAAACGGGGGCCGCATCTGGATGCCCCCTTATTAAAGGGGTACTCTGATGTGAATAAGCCCCCTGCCCACACCCCCCAACCAAAGCCGCAGGGCGAGTGGGGAAGAGGCCCTTGTCCCCATCGGATCAAGGGTCTGGTTGGAGACGTTGGGAACTTTAGGGGGGACCCCACGACTTCCCCCCCCCCATTTTGGGGGGTGGGGTTCCTCTTTAAAATTCCTACTGGACCTTAAGGGCCTGGTATGATTTTGAGGAGGAACCCCACGCATTTTTTTTTAAAATTGTAACTTGGGGCCCCTTCCAAAATTCCTACTAGACCTTTAGGGTCTGGTACGACTTTTGGAGGGAACCCCTGCTTTAATTTTTTTAATGGGGTCCCTCCTAACTTTCCTACCAGACCTTAAGGGTCTGGTATTGTTTGAGAGGGGGAAGCACACGCTTTTTTTTTCCTTTTTATTTGTCATTTTTTTTCTTCATAAATGTAATTTTGCAGCAGGTGCTATACATTGTACAGATGTGCCACTTTACAGGCAGTTTAAGGAGACCCCCCCCCAATATTTAAAGGACTTCTTTTTTTATTCTTTAACTTTAAGTGATGTTAAAATCACTGCTCCTTTAAAAACGGTATTTAAAAAAAAATAGATTTTCATTGATACATGTCCCCCAAGTCAGTCCCCGAATCCCCATACCCT